GAGGAGGATCTCACGGACCTGCAAGTCACCATCGAGGGCCCAGGTGGGTGTGGGTGTGTGCGCGGGCGCCAAAGGCAGTGGCCACTTCTTTTCTGTCGTGTGACTGGAACAAACAGGATTCAAGGCTATCTCTCTGGTGGTGGCTGATGACAAAGTGTGGGTAGGTCAGTCGCAGCGTTGTGCCCGCGAGTATCCGGCACATTGCAGATAACAACAAAAATATGGAGACGTCCCTGGTCACTGAGCGTGGAATGGAGCGTCTGCCTTGGCTTGGGCTAAGGCTGTCAAGTGTGACTTTGCGGGGCCCTGAGGATGCATAGGAATTAGAGATAGAAAGTGCCCCGGGGTAATAAAGATGATCTGAAACAGCTATTCAGCTGCCAGGTGTCTGGGCTCTGGAAGCATTGCAGGGCAAACAAGACTCAGCAATGTGAGGGAAACGGTTGTGTGTGATAAGATGTCACTTTTCATCTGAGTTCCTACAAAGTCAGGGTGTTTGAAGTGTGTGGTCTATAGTGCTGGGGTGTGGAGGGCATCTGCCCAGCTACTGTTGAGTAAGTGGGTAGAACGCCTGTGATTACCATTTTCCACCCAAGTAAGGAGGTAAATGAAAACACATCCCATGAGGATCTGGAAAGGCCTCGGAAATGGTTTGCAAGAATAGTTGGTGGGTTGGGTCCTTTTGTCTTGAAGAGCTGGCATGTGCCTGAGACACTCACTTGGAAAAGAAAATGGATATCCAGATGTGTGGGCTGTATAATACAGTCAAGGTATAAAGAGGTGGTGCCTGTAGTACCTGGGAGACTGTTCTTTGTTGCCCTAATTTCCTCAGGCAGAGCCAAGGAAACTTGGGTGTTGAGATGTTGAAGGATGCTAGGAATCCTAACCTAGTTCCCTCCTCTGTTCCAGAGGGGACCCCCTATGCTGGAGGTCTGTTCCGGATGAAGCTCCTCCTGGGCAAAGACTTCCCTGCCTCCCCACCCAAGGGCTATTTCCTGACGAAGATCTTCCACCCAAATGTGGGTGCCAATGGTGAGATCTGTGTCAACGTGCTCAAGAGAGACTGGACGGCTGAGCTGGGCATCCGACATGTGCTGCTGGTGAGTTCAAGCCTTTTTGGAAAGTAGTGGAAGGGTTGCCCTGTGGCACCAAGTGCTGTCATGCAGTGTGGGTTTGTGTGATAGGGTGCTTTCATGGAAGGTAGTAGTGTGTGGGTTAGAGGCTTTTTGTTTATGTGTCATAGATTTCACCAGTAACCCAAACTACCCTTGGACTTGTGATCCTCCAAGCATATGGGTGAATAAGAAACTCCCCCAGAAGCTGGGCTTACAAGATTGTGCCCACCCTACTCAACTAAGTAGAATGGGGATTGTTGTATGTTGTTGGGGGGTGTTCTAGGGGCTTTTTGTATGGTTTTTGTTTTGTTCTTTAACCTTGCTGGTGCAGCCATCACCACTATCTAATTCAGAATTGTTTTCCTGAGGTAGTGTTTTTAGCTGGGGTTGATTACACTGCCTGGGACGACCTTTTGTAATGTCAGGAGATAGCTTGGTTGTCAGTACCGCTGCTGGCATGTTGTGTGTGGGTCAGGAGACACTGATTTAGCATGTGTTGTGTATAGGGCTGTTCCACAGTTCCAGTCAGTCGGGGTCGGGATGGATACCTGGCCTAGGCCAGAGCTCCAAGGTCTCTAAAGGCCACTTAAAGTGGTTAGGTGGCCTGGTGCCTCCTTACCCCTCCCATTCCAATGAGTCTCTGGGGCTGATGGTAATGAAGATAAGAGAATTGGGGTTTCCTTTAGGGCACCTGGAAAGGATTAAGTTCCAAGGTAAACAACCCCATGTCAATTGAGCTTGGTCTGTCTCAGTGCTGGAATTGTTAGCTCTGGCTATGGGGTCTGCTTCTCAGCCTGTTAGGATAGGAAGCTGTATCAAGGATGGCCAGGCCTCCAGTTTGGATGTGTAGTGGTAAGATCTGAGGGGGAGATCGATCCTGCATCCCCTTTCAACATCAGTAACGTCTACTAACTCTTGGGTGTGTCACAGAAGCACCTGTTAGCTATCACTAACTCGGGACTAACATTTATTTATGGAGCCTTCTGAACTGACATTTAGATAGACTGAACTGGATTAAATAGACACAAAATTCTTAAGGCCTGTGGTCAGCCTGTTGTTTTTTCCTCTTGGGTGTAATCTGTTCCTATGGCTCTGAACTTGGCAGCTTGGCCTTCCTGGTAAAGCCAGTGACCAACCACTATGGAAAACCAAATGAGTTCTCCAATCCTAGATGCCCTTAGTCCCAGTTACTACCTCTGAACTCATGCTCACCTGTAGAGGCAAGGTCAAAGCTACATTAGCTACCAGAAAATTGTCTGGGGCTGACAATGGTCTCCTGACGGAAGGGCCTCTGGCAACATCAGGCTGTATTTGCCAAGGCAGTGGTCCCTTGAAATGTTTGTAGCAACAGGAAAACAGCCTGTGGTGCTGACATGCATAAGAATGCTAGTAGGCTGGTTCTGGTCTTGAGAGAGATGATTTGTGGAGGCCATAAGTGTGGACAGCACCCCCTGACACTGGGCCCTTTCCCCACAGACCATCAAGTGCCTGCTGATCCACCCTAACCCAGAGTCTGCGCTCAATGAGGAGGCAGGCCGCCTGCTTTTGGAGAACTATGAAGAGTATGCTGCCCGGGCCCGTCTGCTCACAGAGATCCATGGGGGTGCTGGTGGCTCCAGCAGCGGGAGGGATGAGGCTGCCCGGGGGAGAGGGGCTGCAGCCTCCCCCACTGACCCTATGACTCCAGGAGGCCTGGGAGGAGCTGAGGGTCCCATGGCCAAGAAACACGCAGGCGAGCGAGACAAGAAGCTGGCAGCCAAGAAGAAGCTGGACAAGAAGCGGGCGCTCAAAGGTGTGTAGTGGTCTCTCCCTTCCTCCCTCTGCTCCGTCCCCGCCCACCGCCCACTCTGTCTCTAAGTTATTTAAATTATGGCTGGGGTGGGGGAGGGAACAGGGGAGGGCACCAGAACCTGGATTTGGTTTTCTAAATAAAAGTTGGAAAAGCAATTTCTGTGCCTGAAGGTGTCTATAACTTCTTCCTATATTGTGACTTTGAGCAGCTGGCATTCTTATTCTGCCCGTCCTTACAAAGCCACCAGAGCTGTCTCTCTGAGTTAGGGTTGGAGTCACCTTTACTCTGTGGAATGGGATTTAGAATATAAACTGGAGCGGGAACCTGAGTTGAATAATCCTGTTGGGAAGCAGCTCTTGTAGAGCAGTTATTTTTATTTTATGTGTGTAAATGCTGTGACTGCATTTGTTTGCACAGCAGATAGATTCGTCATGTCTGAGGAGGTCAGATGAAACTATTAGATCCCCTAGAACTGGAGTAACAGAATCTACACGCATACAATACTTTTTAAAAGTCAAAGGCTTGCTGGGGGAGCCGGGGAGTTGGAGACACAGCTCAGAGATTAAGAGCACTGCCTGCTCTTCCAGAGGTCCCAAGTTCAATTCCCAGCAACCACATGGTGGCTCACAACCATCCGTTATGAGATCTGGTGCTCTCTTCCTTGCAGGCATGCACAATGACAGAACACTGTATACATAATAAGTAAATACATCTTTTTTCAAAAAGGCTTGCTGGGTGGTGGTGGGGATGCATGCCTTTACTCACAGAACTTGGGAGACAGAGGCAGGCAGATCTCTGAGTTCAAGGCCAGCATTACCTACAGATTAAGTTCCAGGACAGCCAGGGCTATACAGAGAAACCCTATCTGAAAAACCAAATAAAAAAATTAAAAAGACTGAGCAGGTGAGCAGGTGTGACGGTGCTATATATTAAGCTCAATGACATCAAGAGCTACATAAAGAAACCTTGTCTCAAAAAATAATAATAGATAAAAGGCTGGGCCTAGTGGACCAGGCTTGTGATCCCAGCTACTCTGGAGGCTAGGACAGGAAGATGCTCAGTTCAAGACCATGCTGGCCTACAGAGCAAGTTCAAAACCATCCTGGGCACTCTAGCAAAATCATGTCTCAAAGGGCTTTGGTGTTGCACGCCTTTAATCCCAGCACTCAAGAGACAAAGGCAGGCGGATCTCTGTGAGTTTGAGGTCTACAGACAGAGTTCCAGGACTGCCAGGGCCTTTACACAGAGAAACCCTGTCTCAAAAAACAAAACAAGCAAAAATGTAACACCAAGGAAAAGAGCCAGACATAGTGACATACACTTTAAATCCCAGTGCCAGGGAAACATAAGCAGGCAATTCCAGGTTACATACATGGTGAGACTGTATCAAGAGGGGAAAAAAAAACCCACTTGCCTAGCATACTCAAGGCCCTGGGTTCAATCCCCAGTCAGCACCACAAGAAAAATAAATGTAGATAGTATACATGAAAATAAGTGATGGCTGGGCGTTAGTGGTGCACGCCTTTTTTTTTGTTTTTGTTTTTGTTTTTGTTTTTGTTTTTGTTTTTCGAGACAGGGTTTCTCTGTAACTTTGGAGCTTATCCTGGCACTCGCTCTGGAGACCAGGCTGGCCTCGAACTCACAGAGATCCACCTGTCTCTGCCTGTCGAGTGCTGGGATTAAAGGCATGTACAACGATGGTGCCAGGACCGTTACACAGAGAAACCCTGTCTCAAACAACAACAAAAAATAAGTGAATCAGCTGGGCGGTGGTAACACACACCTTTATAGTCCCAGCACTGGGGAGGCAGAGGCAGGAGGATCTCTGTGAGTTCGAGGCCAGCCTGGTCTACAGAGCAAGTTTGTCTCAAAAAAAAACAAAACAAAAGTGGAGCTGTAAGATAATAGAGAGCTATCATTCGAAAAACCCTAGTTTCAGTCCCCAGTACTACATAAAATGGGATGTGGTCCTATAGGCCTGTAATCCCAGTTCTCAGGAGGCTCAAGATATAAGCAAATACACATATCTGGGGCCAGCAAGTTGTTGGTTCAGCTAGAATAGGCACTTGTCACCAAGCCTGACCAAGTTGTATTCCCCAGGACCCTTGTGAGGGAGAAAACTGACTCCAGTAAGTTGCCCTCTCCTTCCACACACATATACAAATAAATGCAATATTTTTGGGGGCTTTTCAAAACAGGGTACTCTAGCCCTGGCTATGCTCAAACTTAAGAGATCTGCTTGCTTCTGCCTCGTAAATATTGGGATCAAAGGTGTGCACCACAACCACCCAGCAAATGCAATAATTTTTCAAAGCATATGTAACTAAGGCATCAAAGTCACAACAGTCGACCTGAGAGGCATCTAGAGCACTGGCTGCTCTTCCAGAGGATCCAGGTTTAATTCCCAGCACCCACGTGGCAGCTCACAAGCATCTCTGGCTCCCCTTCCAGGGTATGAATGCCATTTCACTTTGCAGGCACTAGGTATACACATAGTGCACAGGCATACATGGAGACACACATATATAAAATGAATGAGATTATAAATAAAAATAATCCACAAAAGAACACAAACTATTCCCACTCAACTCATGGTACTGTTTATAGATAAGTCCATTGTGACTATTGGAGTAGTCTTCCATTTCTTTCCTTTGGTTGGTTTGGTTGGTTGGTTTTTTCAGACACAGAGCCCTACCAGCCTGAAGCTCACAGCATCCATCCTGTCTCTGTCTCTTCAGGACTGGAAGCACTGTGCTCAGGTCAGTCTCAATTCCTTTATCCTGGTATTAATTACATCATAGATGTTACGTTTTTTTGAGTTGTTTGTTGAAGACAGAGGCTCACTTGGTAGTCCAGGCTGGCTTCAAACTACGACAGTCATTTTACCTTGGCTTCCCAAGTGCTGGGATTATAGGCATGTGCCACTTCCCCCAACTTCATTGTTTATTAAAAGGTATAAACAGCCAGGCAGTGGTGGCGCACACCTTTGATCCCAGCACTTGGGAGGCAGAGGCAGGCAGATTTCTGTGAGTTCGAGGCCAACCTGGTCTACAAATCAAATTCCAGGACAGCCAGTACTGTTACACAGAGAAACCCTGTCTCAAAATAAATAAATAAATAAATAAATAAATAAATAAATTATAAATTTCACTGTAGCTGGACATTGGTGGCGCACGCCTTTAGTCCCAGCACTTGGCAGGCAGAGGCAGGCGGATCTCTAAGTTCAAGGCCAGCCTGGTCTCCAGAGCGAGTGCCAGGATAGGCTCCAAAGCTACACAGAGAAATCCTGTCTCGAAAAACCAAATAAATAAATTCCACTGTAATGGTACACAGACCTTCAATCCCAGAATTCAAAATTCAAGACGTTGATAACAAGAGAATCTCAAGTGGAAGGCCTGGATGACAAAGCCACAAATCATAGATTGTTTCAAGGAGATAGGAAGGGAGAGCAGGAGAGAAGACATTGATGCCTTTTAATGTACTGTTTAAAAATGTCTTTGGTGCCTTGTGGTGGCAGCACACACCTTTAATTAACTAGCACTCTGGAGGCAGAGGCAGGAGGATCTCTGTGAGTTCCAGGACAGCCAAGGCTACACAGAGAAACCCTGTCTCGAAGGGAAAAAAGAGAAAGTTACTGGTCCTTTGCCTGCATGTAGGTCTGTGCACCACTTTTTTTGCCTGATGCCTTCAGGAGCCAGAAGAGAGTGTCAGATCCTCTTGGCCTGGATTTACGGATGGTTGTGAGATCTATGGCTACTAGGTATCAAACCCCACGTTGGGCGCCATCAGTTATGATTAAGGTCTCTTTATTCAAGAAAACACCAGGGCAAAACACAGGCCAGAGCTAGGTTACCGAACCCAGCAAGCGCAGCCAGAACAAAAAGGGCCAGGGTCCCCACATGCAGCCCCTTAAGAAGCTCCCTTCCGTCACCCCGGCTTTCCTTCACCTCGCCCTTATGGGCGAGTCCCCGGTCCACCGGGTACCTGTCCCAGGACTATTGGGCGGGGCCAGGGTGTCTCCCTACACTGGGGCCTCCGCAACCACAGCCTCCAGACCCCCTCCTGCCTCTCTTTCCAGTATGAAGACTATGTTAAATCAAAACCAACCAAACAGAAAAAGAAAAGCAGCACGCATTATATACATGGCATACTGCTGCTTCTGCCCAAAGGAAAGGTGCAAACACCACATGAACAGGACCCATTCAAAAATGCAAAAACTGCTGGGCAGTGGTGGTGCACACCTTTAATCCCAGCACTCAGGGTGGCTCCTTTCAAGCTGCACCCCATTTCCCAAGATGAATGGCTCTCTGTACCAGACCCCCATTCTGATGCAGGAGGCAGAGGCAGGCAGATCTAAGTTATTTTGTTTGCTTGGATTTTTTAGTTTGATATTTTTGAGACAGGGTTTCTTTTTATTTTATTTTATTTGTTTTTCAAGACAGGGTTTCTCTGTGCCTTTTGGAGGCTGGCCTGGAACTAGCTCTTGTAGACCAGGCTGGTCTCGAACTCACAGAGATCCTCCTGCCTCTGCCTCCCCAGTGCTGGGATTAAAGGTGTGTGCCACCAATGCCCGGCTTGAGACAGGGTTTCTTTTGTAGCCTTGGCTGTCCTAGAACTAGCTCTGTAGACCAGGCTGGTCTCAAACTCACAGAGATCTGCCTGCCTCTGCCTCAGTCCTTTTAAAAAAAAAATCATAGTCTTTTTTTAAAAGATTTATTTATTTATTATGTGTACAGTGTTCTGTCTGCATGTTGCCTACATGCCAGAGGAGGGCACCAGATCTCATTACAGATGGTTGGGAGCTACCATGTGGTTGCTGGGAATTGAACTCAGGACCCTTGGAAGAACAAGCAGTGCTCTTAACCACTGAGCCATCTTTCCAGCCCCCAAAAAGTAGTCTTAAGAGAGGAACTGGAGCCAGGCATTGGTGGTGCACAACTTTAATCCCAGCACTCGGGAGGCAGAGGCAGGTGGGTCTCTGTGAGTTCGAGGCCAGCCTGGTCTCCAGAACGAGTTCTAGGACAGGCTCCAAAGCTACACAGAGAAACCCTGTCTCAGAAAAAAAAAAAAAAGAAAAGAAAAGAAAAGAAA